CGCTCTGACTGTCAGGATCACATGGTACATGGGGTAATGTAGTACACGGGGATAACGTGGTACATAAAGTGCCATGTTGAACCCTAGTTTCAACTACACTGCCAGAGTACTGCAGAACAGTCACCATTCAGCTGTGCAAAACAACCTTTGTGTGGACAGACCCTGTGTTTGCATGTGCTGGTGAAGCACGGAGCCTCCAGTTCCCACATTTATTACTAAGGAAAGACACGTAAGTTTTATAGCATACAGTGGCCAAAAATGGCACCTGGTATTTTTTGGCCACTGTGTGACAGAGTGTTGGACTGTCATTGGCCTGATCCAACATTGGCTTCTCTTATGTTCTTATGTTCACAATAGCTGTCCACCTGCGGAAGAGATTTTGCCTCAGTTGCCCTTGGAAAGGAGTCCTACAACTCGAAACATGTTGGGTCTGAACAAATCAGGAACAGTATGCTTCTCAGGTCTCTTCCTCCCCTTCATTCCTTTTGTTGGATGCACGTACAGGTTTGGGCTGCACGTACAAAGTTAAAGAAGTATGAGTGCAAGACGGGAGCCAGAATTTATCTTATTGTTGCTTATTTGATGCATTTGTAACCTGAGTCAGCTTCCACAGAGAAGCACAAGACCAGGTTCCAAGAGTTCTCTGTGTAATAACCCTCCTGCGATAAGTGAATGTTACAGATGGAAGGCGAAAGTGTTGATCTCTCGTATTTACCGAGTTTCCTCGCAGTCCACGGTCTCCTCGTTCTCCTTGTTCTCCTTTGCCTCCTTTGTCGCCCTGTAATGGAATATACACAATGTCTTACAATGGACACTCGACTGTGGCCTTCGGGAACCCATGCGGCGCCATCCGCTTTGAGCATTATGTGTATGGCCCAACTCAAAATGGTTTCTGTGCTGAGAAGATAGTAGATACAGCGGCCAATAGAATAATTTTCCACTAGCCCGCCCAGGTTTTTTTAACTAGTTCTGGCTAGTTGCCTGATGAGAATTTTACATGGATGTGTTAGGTGCACCGACATCCTCTTTGAGGAGAGGATCTCTGGGAGTGTCCGGAACACGCAAGTCATCAATGGGGCAAAGGCTTCAACAGCTGAGCCCCAAGTGGCAGTGGTGGGGGCCCACCGGTTGACCCACCCACCCGCCTACCATCCACCACTCTTCATGGTAGGAGTTTGCAGGCTGTTCGGTCAGAGGAAGCAAGCAGAAGCACGTGGGCCATCCAACTCAAGTGCCTCTTTCACCAAGTCTTCGGTCCTTCTTACCCACAGCCAGAGGAAGCAGCTGTGTGTAAGAGTGTTTATAAGGGGACAAAGTAGGCACATCTGTGTGTAGGGGCCAGCATGTGAGAATGCCTGCCTGTGTTTGTGAGTGTGAGCATGTGAATGCTAGTTGCTCCATCTGCATGTTGGAGGGGGGGGGAGGGAGAAAGACAGAACACCTGTGAGCGCATGGCATGGTGTGTGTTTGGAAGGGGAGGCGGAAACAGAGAACACCAGCCTGTGTGTGAGGCAGACAGAGAACCACTTTCTCGAATGTTCTGCGCTGTTCTGTATGGAACAAGAGTGGTCTGCTGTGTTCTATAGGGAACGCGGGTGCTCTCTCCCACAAATTTAGCAACCCACGACTGGACACAGTTGTCCTGGAATGCTTTTTCAGGGCAACAGGCCTCAACCACTGTCTACAGCAGGATCCCCAGAACACCAAAGAAGGCCAAAAGGTAGCAGTAAACAGTCATGTCTGTGCGTGTGCGTGTGCGTGCGCGTGTGCATATCTCCTGTGATGCAGCTGACCCATGCTGAATCCACTGAAGGAGAAGAAGAGATTGGATTTATACCCCGCCCTTCACTACCTGAAGGAGTCTCAGAGAGGTTTACAATCTCCTTTCCCTCCCCCTCCCCACAACAGGCACCCTGTGAGGTAGGTGGGGTTGAGAGAGCTCTTGACAGAAACTGCTCTTTTTTCAAGAACAGCTCTGAGAGAACTGTGACTGACCCAAGGTCACACCAGCAGCTGCACGTGGAGGAGTGGGGAATCAAAGCCGGTTTTCCCAGATTAGAGTCCACACTCCTAACCACTACTACACCCAACTGGCCCTTTGGAGATTTGGGGTCATGAGTATTCTGCCTGGACGCTGGCACCATTTTATTTTTCAAATCTGTGCAAACAGGAAATAGCAGAAAATTATGTTGACAGCGAGTCGCTTACTTACTCTTCTGCCAGGGCTTCCCCTCTCCCCAGGAGAACCTGGATGGCCTCTGTCTCCCTGTCAAAGGAAATATTAATGAATCAGTATTTCTTGCATTAAACAAACTGAACTAGAAAGGCTCTTTTTAAAAACAAGACGTAAACTCAGGAGACTTACTTCTTCCCCATCAATTCCATCCAGACCGATCTCTCCCAGTTCACCCTACAGAGACAAAGAAGCAAGTTATCGTAGTTCCCCACATTAAAGATGTGTAATCTCCTCGGGTTCAATTTGAAAAGGGGAAGGCAACTGACGAGCAACACTGGAGAACCCTTGGAGGAAAAATACTTATTTCCAAGAGTTCTCCAATCATTTGGCTGGCAGCAGGCAATTCCCTGTCCTCAATAATCTGAGGAAGAGGAGGAGGGAAAATGGGGAGGACATTGCATCAATGGTGATGCTCTAGGAATTCCCCCTAGTCTCTATGATATTTCCTTGAGCATCACCCAAAAGTAACATCACGTCCTCCTGAAACTCCACTGTCCCCAGGCATTGCCCCAGATTTCTGGACATTTGCTGGCAAAGGGCTGGGAACCTCTCCAATCGCTCATCATTTCCAGGCTTCACTATGAGTCCCGAACTGCCTCTCTCCCTACCCCATTTATCTTGCAGCAACTACCTGTGCCAGGGTGTATCTCTGCCACCCTGGGCACTGTTAAAACACGGTCTGACAGGGCCTAACTACAGGCTATATTTTCCTTGTGTCCTCATCAGTCTTGGCGCTCACGCTTATGCTGCTTGGGACGCAATCCCCAGATGCAGGGGGGCCCAATTCAGATTGGTGTAGTGGCGCACCGAGAGAGGGGAACTTAAGCCTCCCCCATTTTCCCCACCTGAAATAGCCCCGGGGGCAGTATTTTGGCCCATTAGGGAGACTTATGTGCAGCCCCTCGGTAGAGGAAGTTTCCCCAAGGAGGCAAATTACCCTCTCAAAACAGGAAAACAGCGCGCGGGGGGGGGGAGGCCCCTATTCCCATGCACCACAGGCTGAATTGTTCACTGTACACCTGGGAACTGAGTTTTGGGTACAATTCCAGATACATATTCACCACATGTCTGATTTCCAGACATGTGGTGAACATGTATACCCCTCCCCAAAGAGCGTTACGCTCTAGCGATCAAAATCTGCTGGTGATCCCCAGCCCAAAGAGTGTCCGGTTGCCCTCAACCGGCGCGAGGGCCTTTTTCAGCCTTGGCTCCATCCTGGTGAGATCCAGGCCCTGTGGGATTTGATGCACTTCTGCAGGGCCTGTACAACAGAGTTGTTCCACTGTGAAAGGAGGACAGCGACGGGTTCCATCTTCAACTAGCCTCCTCGTCCCCCCGCCCCCCGTGGATCAGACAGACTATTCATCACTCCCCCCTGAGAGTTTACACCCTCTTTCAACGATGTTGTTGATTATATATTATGTATTTTATGATATATTATTACACGCATTTTATTATATTTATCTATGTGTTGGGTATGTTATTGTTTGGATTGTTTAAAATGTTTTTATCATTTACATGACCTGCTCTGAACCTGGATTCAGGGGACAGCAGGATACAAATCCAATGCATCAAATCAAAATCAATCAAAGTATAACTTGCAGTTAGTGTCTGGACCACTATGGGGAGGGGGACGGCCCAGAGGCGGGGGGGAGGGAACCGGTCAATCTCTCTGCCCGTCAGCTAGCTGGCGACTGCTAGTTTAAACCGCAGCCAGTTTAGGGGGAGGGTTAGAGAAGGAGTAGGTATCACTGATGCTTATATTCCAAGCCCAGGTTTGCAAACTTTGGAGGGAGCTTTACGAAAACACATGTAAGTGACAATGGAAACAATACGCAGCAGGCATGTACGGTAGGTACTAATCCCATCTAAAACTCTTACATACCTTTTCTCCTGGGAATCCACGATTGCCCTAGAGAGAGGAGACAGAAAGAAGCTCATTCGTGCAACCAAAACTTCATTCCTGAGAAACTCTCAGTTACCGATCCAAAGAGGCAGGCAGTCCAATAATTATCAACTGGCCCCCGTCCTTGAAACAGTGAGAGGTTGGGTAGCGAGATCTTTAGAGCTCCCGTCATTTTCCCACTGAATTCAAGAAGACCTGGCCCGAAATCAAAGTACCCAGACAAAACAGAAAGAGGCCCGGGGCTGTGACTCAACACGCAAAGAAGGATTCCTATTTTTATCAATATTTTTAAAGGCTGCCCTCCAAGTGCAGAGCTCGTCTCGGAGAGAATCGAGCAGAGAGGAACAGGATCCCAGGGCATGCCAGGAGGGTGGGCTGGGAAGGGAGCCGCAGAGATAAGCCTAGTGTCATGGACTGGGCAGCACCTAGCAGAACTTGGTACCCTTGCAGTGCGTGCTGAAGGGCAAACGCCAGGTTCTAACCCATGTTAGCAACAAGGAGAGTAGAGCCTGGTAAGCTGAACTGGGCTGGTTGTTACCAGAGTTGCAGAAAAACTGATAGTGCAGAATGCTTCAAAGGACACAGTCAACGCAGAGCTGTTTAAGATCTTTCCCCATGCAACGTATACCTATCCCCGCCTGGGCCCACACTACTGACGGAGGGGACGCGTCCTGTACCACCAATATCTCTGAACGAGCCAAGCCTCTGCAGAGCCCCAGTACCCCCCTCGTTGTGCTGCCCCGAGCAGCCACATTGGTGGCTTAGCTGGAGAACCAGCCTTACATAAAGGTCCTTCATTTCTTAGAATCATAACACTGAAAGGGACCTCCAGGGTCATCTAGTCCAACCCCCTGCACAATGCAGGAAATTCACAAATACCTCCCACCTACACTCCTAGTGACCTCCTCTCTATGCCCAGAAGGGGGGGGGGAACCCTCCAGGATCTCCAGCCAAACCGGCCTGGAGAACCATTGCTTCCTGACCCCAAAGTGGCAATCAGCATTTCCCTGGGTGTGTAAGAAAGGGCACATAGATATATTCTTATATCTGGACAGCCTTTTCTAGCCACCCGTTCCTCGTTGGTTCTTCTCCCCGTCTACCCGGCTCAAGAGCAGACAACGAGGAAGAAACGCCATCCCCCAACGCTCAGGCCACAGCACAAACAACTTCATCAAAGTCTTGCGAAGGCTGTCTTCACCACCGTCCGCTCATCTGATCAGTGCAGGAGACGGCAGGCTATTGCCTTTTGGAGTGATGTTCCGTTCCTGCAAGCCTGCCTACATATTCCGGAGTAAAATATTCTGCTCAGGACTGAGTCGGGTCGGCATCGGAATACCCTGAGGTGGAGCATCTGTCGGGACCCATGGACTCTGGCAGGGACCACTGCTGTGGACTCCCTACTCACGCATCTCCTCTGCGAACAGCACTCACACCCTTCTATTATCTACTTGTGAGTGCTTTGTTGCCTCTGCTCCCAGCTGCATATACTGCTGAGTGCTGCTGGAGACGGGCATGCGGAGGTGCACAAAGCATCCGCGTTCCTTGTGGTCATGACAGTGGCACTCCTAGCTATACCCACCATCCAGCATCATTGGGAAGAGGGCATTCAGGCAGTGTGGGTAGCTACGACTGCAGGTGGTGGGAGAGCCTGTGCGTGGGCAGATGAAGGGCTCTCATGATGAACACGGCTGTCCGCTGGTTTCCTGTAAACCACCATGGCTTGATCCTCATACCGGGTAAAGTGGACCGGGGCCTTATTCTATACACTTTAATACGACACAGGCTTTGGGAAATACCTTCGCTCCTCTTTCGCCAGGACAACCTTGAAATCCCTGGGTCCCGTTGATCCCCAGAGGTCCGCGGTCTCCCTGTTTGGAGAAAGAACAAATGCCGGCCGTTAACGCGGATGTCTCAGTCCGGCACAGAGAGAGACTGTAGAATGCTGACAATGAAGGAAACCAGATGGGCGAAAGAGAGGGAGGACGCACACCAAAATGGAATGAAGCCAGGCAGAAATGGGAAGAACTCTCTAGTTATGATGCTGGCTGAGGTTTTATTTATTTTATTTATTTATTGTATTAGATTGATATCTCGCCCTCCCCGCACGGCAGGCTCGGGGTGGGTTCCAAACACAGAGATCTGCAAATAATGCAGATCTGCAATGAAAACATATCCACCATTAAAATAACCGCTAAACTCACTAAGCCCACTAAAACACGACATCATGTCTGTTGATCAGAAGAAGCGGGTGTGGATGTTATCCTGTAGTATGATAACTGTTTCATCATTTAATTTACGCTCTAAAGTTTCAGAACTATGAACTCTGCACTGCCTGAAGTCAAGGCAGGAGTTCTACCAGTCGGCAACGCTCGACAGGTCGCCTAACTTTGCTTCTCGTCCGGTTGGCTATTTTTGGAGCATTTGTACAAGGGATGAGGGAGTTCCCTCGGTTTCACGCCTGGTTAGTATTCCGTGGCTCCACTGTGCCTTGGGTTCTGCACGGATGGTTTTTCAGAAAGAAAGGGGAATTTCACAATGTCCCTACGTGAAAGCCTAAATAAAGACACTTTCCTTCTACATTTCATCTGTCTTGGCACATTTTGTCTGTCTTGGCACACATGTGTAAAAAGAAATAAGCCCACCCCAAAAAAGCCTTACTCACCGGTCCTCCTTCATCTCCTGGATAGCCTCTGTACCCATCTTCTCCTGGGGCTCCCTTTAGAGAGACACACACATGGTTTGTATTTATATACACAGAACAAGATTTACTTCTAATATCCTGCATTCTTTAATCTCCATTCAAAACATTTCTGCATGTTTATAAAGCAGATGACTGCTTAATGATTGGAAGGAAAGGAAAATGATGGCTTTATTACTTTTATAAATAACAAACTAATTGTGCTAAACCAGCAATCTGACCGTGACCTCGGTGAATCTTGATTTATTTTGCTTTTTTGCTCCTCAGGCCTAATGAAGAGTTCTTGGGAAGTCGCTATTTTGAGATATTAGGGTTGATCTTGATAAAAACATATTCCACAACTGTTGTCTTGGGAATGTTTCTATAGGCCAACATAGTTCCCTAGAATCTTGCCCTATCTGGGGAAATGCCAAATGATCATCCCAAGAGGAAGGATTCTCCAACTTGGAGGAAGATGATCTTCAAATGGGTCTTTGCTTTTAATGCCTGTACACCTCCAGCCATTATGTAATACTAGCCTATTTCTATTGATCCTTTCCATGATCGAAAATGTATCTCCAGTTCTGTTAATAAAAGGGCTATCGACTTTTTTCTTCTGCTCTCTGCTTTACAAGAAACCTGGTGTAAGGAAGACATATAACTAACCGCTAGCATTTCTGGTCTCAAAGTAAGAGTATATCTTTGTTTCGTTTCTTTATTCCTTTGTCCATTTTGAAACCTATTTTACACCAAATGCCACCTAATCCAATGACCTCTGCAATGCATCCTGTATTCCACACGGACTTCAGTGTATTCTGTTTAGAGTGCACCGTTAGGCTCTTCAGACTGCATGGGTCAGACTAGGGGCTCCTCCATCGAGCCCTGAAAACCTTCTCTATTTATTGCTTGTCGCTTCTGATTTTTGTCTTGAACGTAACAAATCAGAAGTCCAGTGCACCTTAGAGACTAAAAAGATTTATTCCGGTATGAGCTTTTGTGAGAAGAGCACACTTCTTCAGATGTACGTTTCCTGGACATTCAACGTGGCCGAGAGTTCTGGGGAACCCTAAAGCCTTTTTTAGTGTGATATGGGGCTAACAAAGGGGCACGAATGACTTGTACATGAATTTTAGTGTATTTTTCTTTATTTATTATTTGATTTGTTCAAATTTATAGCTCGCCCTCCCCGCAAGCGGGTTCAGGGCAGCTCACAAATGGGCAACATATGCCAATAGTTAAAACAATAAAAACAAGATAAAAACAACATTTACAACTACATAAAGAGCTCTAGATGTTACAAGAGGATCTTCCTTCACAAGATGGTGTCCTGGGGATGGTAGTCCCAATTCCATGGCCTCCTGGGAATGTTAGTCTCAATTCAGTGGTATGGGTTCCACGCAGTATTATAACAACTTGTCACAAGGCCATCACACGCCCCGATGCTACCCAGCCCAACTAGTGGTGGTGTGGCAACAATGGTGTGGTAATGGTGATGCAGTAATGATGGTCCAGTAGTGGTGGCTCCTACTCAAAAGCCTGGCGGAGGAGCTCCGTCTTACAGGCCCTGAGGAACTGCACAAGGTCCCACAGGGCCCGGATCTCCTCCGGGAGCTCATTCCACCAGGTAGGAGCCGCCACCAAAAAAGCCCTGGCCCTGGTTATGGCAAACCTGGCATCTTTGGGGCCTGGCATCACCAGGAGGTGTTGTGTCCCCGACCGTAGTGCCCTTGGGGGAACATATGGGGAAAGGCGGTCCCTTAGGTATGTTGGACCCTGGCCATATAGGGCTGTAAAGGTAAGAACCAGCACTTTGAAGTGAATTTGGTACGCTATAGGCAGCCAGTGAACTGCAGTGTTGCCTTGCTCTTCCTTTTATAAATGTCAAGCCTTGAAACCACATAACAGCTAAGATGAAAGGCTGCTTACCAATGCTCCTTCTAAGCTGTGGAGTCTTGTGAGCAAAAATTCTGCTTTGTGAGCTCCTGGCATTAAAGTCGCGAGCGAGTGATTTGGCTACTGCATAAATTAGTTTGCTCCGGAGCCATCCCTTCCTGAGCTAAAACAAAAATGTGTGAGCCGGAGGCTAAAGAACTGTGAACTAGCTCACACTAACTCACCTTAGAGGGAACGTTGACTCACTGTATCTACATGATCTGAAGATATCACAAATACAAACAATGACAAATTATACCCTGCGTCATGACTGAAGGGGATGTGCACTTGTTCTTGTTATGTTATGGTATCCTCAAACTGCTTGGGGGGGGGGATGCATGTGTGTGATTTGTTAGAAGTTCTTGTGGGCATACAGAACAACCCGGGCAGTTCTTAAGGATTCCAGCCAGAGGCTCAAAAACTGTATGCTGGACTTCCAAAGACGAGACTAAAACATCTCACCTTTGGTCCAGCTGTACCCGGCAATCCCCTGTCCCCACGCTGTCCAGAACATTTGCATGCAACCCCACAGCACGCTCTTTCTGCAACATTGTCCTGTTGGGGGAAGAAATAAAAGCCAGTGGTAAAATCAGAAAGCAAGGCAGAATCTCTCTCACCAATGAAAAAATAATTGCGCAAGCAACTTCTCAAATCTCATACATGGTACTCAGAACCGTTATCAGAGCCCAATCTAACCAATCCGGCCATAGGCTAGGCCCAGGTGCATCGCTACGGTGGGGCATTTTGGAGCTACGTCCCCTCATTAGTAACCTCTGCCCCATCAAGCACCCCCCCTGCCCGTAGCCAGTAGACCCGGCTGTGAACACGCTCAATACTCGTGGCTTGAGCAGTGTTTAAATGGGGGAGCCAAGAGCCGAGTCCTCTGGCTCCCCCTTTTAAATGCTGCTCAAGCCACAAACCTACCCACAGCCAGTAGACGAGGAAGAGCCTATTCCTCGTCTCCTGGCTGAAGGCGGGTGGGCTCACCACTCACAGCCTGAGCGGTGTTCAAAAGGGGGAGCATCATATGTGATGCCATGCCCCCTCGGTGCCCCCCCTTACAGATTCCTGGCTATACCCCTGGCTAGCTCTATTCCACTAGGCCCTACATACAGGGGGCATGTGCAGCAACAACCCCTTAGAAATACACCGTGACACCCCCCCCGACCTTTCAGTTTTCATTTAAAACCAAGTAAATCACTCAGCCGTTCCTTTATATGTAAGGAAATAAAATGGGAAATGAGTCCCCAAGTATTTCAGAAAGGGCGAGGAAAGATACCTCTGGAGATCTTGTGCTGAATTACTAAATTCGGGTTTTTTAATCATTAGGAAAACATGAGATGCAAGGTTCCCAAACAAACTGCTCAGCATTTTACGTATCACGTACGATGTAGCTGGATAATATTGTCTAGTACGTGGGCCAGCAACGTACGGCTCCACCCTCTGTCTGAAAAGTTTGGTGGGCACCAAATATCAGATGATGCCCAAGGGCACCAGACTGGGAAACCCTGCCATAAACTTTATGGACATCCCAATTATAAGTAATGTTGGACATGACCGTTATCAGTAATTTTGAGTATTTCCCCTTTCCCTCTGTGGCTCTTGGTTGATCTCTTGCACTGAATGTTGTTGTAGCTTGGCTCTTCAAATATCAAAGGCTGCAGACTCCTGCTGGAGTGCCCAGCAAGTTTAGTACTGATCCCGTACTTGCCGGACCTGGCAAGAGAAGCCGGATAAACTACAGTTTCTAATAAACATACCAGTTGCTCTGCCAGCTCGAAATCTAGATCCTGCAGATTAACCCGGAGAGGCCGATTGTAAGTGAAACCGCGTCCAAACTCCAGCTGCATCACATCCTCAAAGTCTGATACTCGTTCCAGCCCAACAAGAATGAAAGCCTTGACCCCTGGAAAATTGGAAGAAAAAAGCCGTCAGTCTTGAGCCACTGCTTACTGTGCAGACCAGCATGAGTCCATCCAGAAGAACAGGGATATGAAGCTTTTGGGTGAGATCGTGTAGAAATACAGTGCCATTAACATGCTGTCAATTGGTGAAATGGACCTTGTAGGCATCTTGCTATAGCATGGGGGATTTGGAGCTGAATGGTCCCTAGCCCAAAGGTCCAAATGAGATGGCCACCTCTCCAGAGCCAGTTTGGTGTAGTGGTTAGGAGCGTGGACTCTAATATGGGAGAACCGGGTTTGATTCCCCACTTCTCCACAAGCAGCTGCTGGTGTGACCTTGGGTCAGTCATAAGTTATTTCAGAGCTGTTCTCTCACAAGAAGTTCTCAAAAGAGTTCTCTCAGCCCCACCAACCTCACCAGGTGTCTGTTGTGGGGAGGGAAAGGAGATTATAAGGTGCTCTGAGACGCCTTCTGGTAGTGAAGGGCGGGGTATAAATTCAATCTTTTCTTCCAGTTTTATATCCCTGCCCCCCCACACCATTACTATCAACTGAAGAATTACAGATAGGTTTGTCTAGTTATCTAGACCTAGACCCTTGAGCTTTATCTTATAAAAGACTCTTCTGCAAATTAAGATCTGGATACCTACTCCGATATCACAGGGATTGAAGGGAAGCCTTGAAAATTTGATTTGTTGGAGTAACTCGGACCTAGGAAGGCATCTTTACACCTTCTCTTTGGATCTTAGGAAGCATGGATCAAGTTAGGCCTTTAGGTAGGTACAAAAAAGACCACCAAAACATCACTTTCAGAAATGGAAAACTTGTATATTGTTATTGATTAAAAAGGGGGGGGAAGCCTAAGATTGAGTGAAAATTGTCTAACAACTCTGAAGCAAAGAGGAAATAAAATCAGCAACAATGGTATTATCTCTCTCTCAACCTCAAACTTACTCACTTTGGTGGAGAATTAATAGGTAGGCAGAATAACCTTAAATTTACCAGATAGCTATTGCAACCCATCTTTAGGACTCTCTCTTTCTCTCTCCCACTGAGTCATTCCAAGCTTCCTTCACTAAAGCCTTCTTCTCATACCCACTCCCATTTCTCTTTCTTCGAAAATCATATATCATTTTTTTAAAAAAACCCTAAGACAAAGCCTCTCCAAAATGTTCTGTCCCACCACAAAGGGCAGAAGACATCCTTTAAACCTTCTCAGATGGAAAATGACTAGCTTTTAGGAGATTCCCTGAAGCTGAACTGATCATGCGCAGGCCCTGGTACCACAGGAGAGCTGGCAGACTGAAGGCCAGAGAGAAAAACTCGGATCTGCAACCTTTTGTTGACCAGTAAAGGTAGTTTTATATCAACCTCTGAGCACTCACAGAGCGTAAAGTCAACATTTACTTTTCAAAACTGTTACGGTTTTACAAGGATAACTGGGATATGAAGGTCCATTTCGCCACACAAAGACCCAAAAATTCCTTCTCATGTGACCTGTTCAGTTTATTATTTATTTACCCAGATCTTCCCATCTCTATTGGTACACATACATGGCCCTGAGCTTCAGTCCTGGACAACAATGGGGACTAGGATCCTAGCCCTACACTGGGGAACCAATGGGAACCATGGCGGGAGATTCAAACCCACCAATGGTGACCAGGGGGCGTCCCCAGGTTTGTATATAGTTGGCCTCCCGGCCGTTTGTCCCTTCTTCTTGTTGTGTACTGAATAAAGCGTGCTATGCACCACCACGCAGTCTGTCGTTTGTACGGGCGACCACCCACTACATAACACTATCGGTACACATACATGGCAACTTATTACGGCCTTAGAAACCCAAATCACAATGACTCAAAAGGTCAGCATGAAAATATAGCCTCGTAATACAACACCTTCTCTCTTCAGATCAGCAGTCGCAGCCTTTAACTGTTCCCTGGAGCCATCAATGCCGTCAGTCAAGTGTATCACCACCTGAGGAGGAAAATCTTTAAGTGAGTCAACAGATGTGAATTACATGAAATTATAGGGAAAACAGAAGTGAAATCTCCGTCTGTGACTGAAATGAGACTGGCCCAGGACGCCCACATTCTAGGTCGCAGGGGCCATCAGGGATCTGCCCAGTGTCCAATGGGCACTGAGGTCACGTTCCTGTGCTGGAAGATGCCCAAGCAAGGAGCATCAGACCAGCAAGTTTTCCAGGGTGCTGAATGAAGGAGCACGAGAATACAGGCCACTCCACCTTCCACGGCCTCTGGACCTCCAGAGTACTGCAGAAAAAGAAAGGAAAGGAAAAGAAATTGATTATGGAATGTTTTATTTTAACATGATTAATAAAATATTTTAATACAAGGTGTTCAAATATTTTCCAAAAGTCTCCAATGCAAGAACAAGATGCATTTCTTCCTTTAGGAGGTGTGATTGTCAGAAGAAAATTTAAAAGTTTCAGTTTTGTTTTTGTATGTGGGTGGGTATTCTGTTTGTAATAATTGTTTGGATACACTATATTTTTAATATGCTAGTTGTGATAATTTCATGCTAAGTAAAAATGTCCATAGTCATATTTTATGTTCTTGAAGTAACAGAATGACTTTCAATCTAGAAAAAACAAAAGAAATGCTAATGTAGCATTTTTTTCAATTTTTCCAAAAATTTCCGTTCCCCTCCGAAAAAAACGGGGGAAAAATGGGGGGTTTTCCGAGCTTCAAAATTTCCAGAAATTTTACATCTCTAGATGGAAGATGCCCAAGCAAGGCGCATCCTGCCAGCAAGTTTTCCAGGGTGCTGAATAAAGGAGCACGAGAATACAGGCCATTCCACCTTCCACGGCCTCCGAACCTCCAGAGTAATGCAGTGGCATTCACATACTATGAATGACAACAACTCTACGGAACCTCAAGGATTAAAACAAAAGCAAGTCTGGGGCCTTCTTTCTCATCTGCTGAGTGCCTCTTTCTCTCCGCCTGATCTCTGCTAGCACATTCCTGGGTGTATAAAGCCCTCCCACGTTGACAGTTTGCATTGTAATTCTGCACACACAACCACTTAAACAGCAATTGACTCCCTTTTCTTTATAACTAGCCATCTGTACTTACACAGTTTCGTAACCTCCAGGGGTGGCTTACATTATAAACTACCAGTTCTAAGCCACATTTAAAACCCACAGTTGATGACCTCCTGGTTAAGGAGAGGGGGATATTCTCGAACATTCCCTGGTGTACAATCAAGATGGCAGCCTAAGAACACTCCCGCAGGTTTGGAGACTCCTTTCGCAGTGGCTGCCTCCTCTTCAGGTGAGTGTGGCTAGCCATGCCCACTGAGCAGAAAGCTCTCTCCTTCTTCTGCAGAAGTGCAGAATAGGGACACAACTATTCATCCAGGCAGTCAGCAGCCCATAGCACAACCAGGAGCTTTTCGGTGGCATAACGCACATTATTGAGACCCATTATTATTGAGACCCACTGAGACGCAGACCATTTCTGCAGTAGTGAAATTCCCCACATTGACGTTCTTAAAACTGCAAGTTATGTGAACATTTCCGCAGTAGATTTTTCCTCACCGGGCGCAAACCCAAAGTTTCCTCCTCCTTAGCCTACGTTTTTGAAACTCAGTAAAACTGGGGATTCTGAAAATGCAGGGTAAGAAGGAGAAAACTTTGGGTTTGCGCCTGTTGAGGAAAAACGTACTGCAGAAAATTTCACATAACGTGCAGTTTTAAAAACGTCCATGAGGGCAATTTCGCTACTGCAGAATAGGTCTCAGTAATGCACTTTACTGGCCCATTACTGATGCCTATGCCTGCGAGTGAAGGGAGTGCTCTCTGCTTTTACAACTGGGCATAATGGTGTTTATCCCTGGCCAATTGTGGCCTGAGCACCACAGCTGTCATGGTACAGATGTGCAAGGGGGAAAGAAATCAGCATTTTTTGGATTTTGGGACCCTTAGAATTTCCATATTGCTTTGAAAACTCGAATTCCAATATCAGTATTGTATAGAATTCGGATAAAATTTAGGAATCCCGAATTTTTCAGCTCCATTATACCCTATGGGGCCATTATAGTCAATGGCAATTTTCCTAGGTTATATTCAGTGGGCTTCGGGGGGGGGGGGTTGAGGTAGAGGCACCAAAGTTGCAGTGTAGCTGCTAGAGCTTCCCCCCAAAAGAACCTCCAAGTTTCAAAAAGATGTGTCCAGCAGAACCAGTGCCATGCTGACCGTGCCAAAACCCAACAGAACCAAGGTCAAATCTGTTGGGTTTTGGCACTGCCAGAGTGGCATGGGTTCTGCTGCTGGATTTGCAAACATGCCCCCTCCCTACACTTCACTATCTACTGCAGCGTTTCTCTGGGAGAATCTACTGGGCTTGTTGTATTCCTACCTTGCATTTTCCCCACCATTGGAAACACGGAATTGGACCCTCTGGCCCAAGTTTTTTGAAACTTCGGGGTCCTTTTGGGGAGAGGTTCCAGCAGCTACACTGAAAATCTGGCGACTCTACCTCAGATTTGGTGCCTCTACCTCACATATACCCTAGGAGATTTGCCATTGACTATAATAGCCCCATAGGGTATAACGGAGCTGAAAAATTTGGGATTCCCGAATTAATTTAGGATTATCTTATCGGTAAGCCGAATCAAATCAGAGAATCTGATTTGGCTTGACTAATGTTTGAGTCATGCCAAAAAGGCATGATTCGGGTATTAATTTCACTCGGAAATACTGAATGCACATCCCTAGTCATGTGTAACTCTAGTACAATCAGACATGAATGGCGAACTCACTAGGACAACAGAGAGAGAACGGGAAAGTTCTGTCTCTGGTTCTGCAGAAGCTTCAGAGCCCCTAAAGCATCCCTCCCTGTCCACCCTTCTGTTCCTCTAGGCAGAAAAGTCAGATTTGTATTTGTATACAGATTTGTATCTGTCAGCGTTTTGTTACAGAAAACAGGAGAAATTACTCAACATCCTGTAAAAAAAAACCCAGGATGAATGGACACCATATGTAGAAAAGACATAACATTTGCACAGTGACCTACCAGATTAGAAGGCAGGACTGTTTGGGTATGATCAGGCAATGATTGGTTTAGATTAGGGAACTTGGCAGGGAGTCACTTTTAGGGGGTCCCAGATAGTAGCCAGTAAAGAAATGAGAAAGATTTGAAAGCACGGTGTGACCAATTGTTTGGTAGAGATGGGACTGTAAACAAAACGTAAGAATTTGCAAATCTAAATGTCTCATTTGGATCCAAGAGTTCCTGAATGCTGAAGCCAGATCTACAGCCTGTGAGACAGTGCAAGCTGGGTCTCTTCAAAAAAATTATGAGTCCATGGAGACAAATGCAACGTATGGTTCCTCAACAGCATATTCCATGTGCTGTTCTGACTAGTTCTGACTAGAACACACCACAGTCATTTACTTGAGTATTAAGATCTCCAAGTCCAGTGATCTATTTGCTAGATCCTAGGCAAGTCAGGTATATGCTTGCCTTATGAGCAGACAAGGTTCACTGGAAAAGACAATAAGGCCTAGGTAAAGTTGAAGGCGGCAGGAAAAGAGGAAGACCCAATATGAGATGGAATAACTCAATAAAGGAAGCCACAGCCCTTAGTTTGCAAGCCCTGAGCAAGGATGTTAATGGTAGGATGTTTTGGAGGTCATTGATTCATAGAGTCGCGTAAGTCGGAGGCAACTTGTCAGCACTTAACACACACACACATAAGTTAACTAGTAATATTGAGAGCTGTTCGAACACAGCAAAGAAAAATGTATACATATTCATTCAAACTTATACCCATTTGCTTTCTTTATTTAGAAAAAAATTCGGATGCTGCAAGTGGTTCGGGTCAAGACATTCAAAAAGTGGATTTTCGTTTTGTGATTGGAGAAATGAAATAAAACTGTCACCACCAAGCATTATTCGGAATCATGACAAACAGCAGAAACCCATCCTTACAGACAATTCACTGGGTGCAGACTGAGCAGTTTTATGGGTCTTAATTCTTCCATTTTCTGGCACTCCGAAGTCTGAGGGATTTCCTCCCCCCCCCCCCCCCGTAAAACGATAATGGAATCCAGACCTACCTTCACGTTTCCAGTGGGAGATGTCGCAAATTTATTCTGATAAGATTTGAGAGTCTCAGCATTTAGAACAAACGGACCACGGTTGTGCATGGCCTGGAACTTTTCAAACAACTCTGGCTGATACTCGGAAAAGTCAAATGCCTCCACTACTCCAGAGGGAGTCTGGGCCAGAAGAGCCACGCGCACCGAAGGGGTCTGGTTGGGAGTGCAGCTAATCCTCTGTATCTGAGTAATCCTGTTTAGAATGTCCTCCACCTTTGTCTCAAGCACCCTCTGCGCAGTGAATATACTCTGCTGCGGCCCAACATCGGAGACATCAAATCCAAGTATAATGTCCAGATAGCAGTCTAGGATGAAGCAAAATGTAATTGTGTTATATACAGAGGAGAGGAAAATGACATACCAGCAACAGAAAGACCTACATAATTGTACAGAATAGAAAATGGATCTCAACTAGTTTTTATACAAAGACTTGATGTGTCCTTGTAATAATCTAATTTTGAACCTGGCTGGAGAATGCAATTTTAAAAAAAAAAAATCTGTGTAAGAGGGCCAGATACAGAAAGAGATGTTCCTACAGATCACTGGGAATCCATGGGGGGAAGTGGACAGGCAGCAAGACCGAGGGGAGTGACAAGGTAAAGCTACAGAAGAGGGAAGAAGGAAAAGAATGGAGCAAATGGGGAGAGAAGAGAGGGAGGGAAGGCAGCAGAGAAAGGGGAGAAGCTGCAAGGGTGAGGGAAGGAAACCAGAGAGACCATGGGATGGAGGACCACCTGGAGGGGGTAGCAAGTTTCCTTGTGAATCCTCACAAGGATCATCAGATCCAAGCATGATGTCCAGATTTTAGTCTAGGATGGAGGAAAATGTGTTATATACAGAGGAACATGACATACCAGCAACAGAAAGGTCTACATAATTGTACAGAATAGAAAAGAGATACCAATTAGTTTTTATACAGAGACTTGGTGTGTCCTTGTAATAATCTAATTTTGAACCTGGCTGGAGAGTGCAAATTTAAAAAAAAAATCTGTGTAAGAGGGCCAGATACAGAAAAGCCCCATTCACACAGCGAATTTGCCGCGGGAGAGCCATGAGTGAATGGTGGAGTTTCCAGGCGCAATTACACCGCAACATCTGGCAAGTGGAGCGCACCCGTGGCCAACCTGTGGCATACCACCGAAAATGCGGAGTTAAAAAATACCTGGTCGAAGCTACTAGCAACCGGTTTGCCACGGGCTGCCTCCGGACTCCCTTGGTGTGATTGTGCCGTCGCCCTGCCTTTCCCTCCTGCCCCTCGTTGACGCGGAAGGAAAAAACCGTGACATGCCTCCGAGCGTGGGATCGCGTTCTGGCGCGTTAAATTGCGCCGCCGCAAATAGCCATGCCTCCTCCCCACGTTATCCGACCCGTGTGACCGGGACAGAAGAGATGTTTCTACAGATCACAGGGAATCCATGGGTTGGAGGGGGTGTGTGTTAATGGGCAGGCAGCAAAGACAATAAGGAAGACTGATGGGAGTGACGAGGTAAAGCCACAGCAGAGGAAAGAAGGAAAAGAATGGAGCAAAAGGGGACAGAAGAGAGGGAGGGAAGGCAGCAGAAAAAGGGGAGAAGCTGCAAGGGTGGGGGAAGGAAACCACAGAGAACACGGGAAGGAGGACCACCTGGAGGGGGTAACAAGTTTCCTTGCGAATCCTCACCGGGGTCCCCTGCTAATGGTGAATAGATTTGCCACCTGACCCCACTGCAAGGACAATGCGTCATTCCTTACCCTCTTCCTGTTCCCAGACTTATACAGCCACTGTACTTTGAAGTGCATCTCAATTAATGTTCCCTGAAGACAGGAACATGCATATTAGGCCAGTTATGTTTTTGTTTTCCTTTTCTGGGTTGCTCCAGGGTTGCCCCCAGGGTAATGGGAGGGCAGGGACTGCTGAAATCAGCATCATCTATGGTTTTTACCATGAAGATTTGGGAAATCCCAATAGAGTCATGTGATACAGGGAAGTCACATCTGGGGTTCAAACAGAGAAATGATATCACAGTACTGTGCACTGCCCACCCGCCCCTCCATTTTACTCCTGCAGCAGCAAAACTCTAGGGGCCTGGGGCACAAGGTTGTGGCCACAAGCAGCAACTGGCAAGTTGCTGAGGAACTCAGGATCCTACTATTCAGAAAGGAGAAGTCTATCAATGGCTGCTCGCCATGATACCTTTCATTTATTCATCACCTTTATTAGGCATTTGTCTCACCAGAAACAAAGAGACGTTTTAAGAAGAAGATTTTACATTCAGCAAAGTAAAGTTACATAAAACAGAGTGACATAAACGTTGAGATAAAATTATTCAGAAGCATACGTAAACTGCTCACGGACCCTTATTGCAGCGAGCAAATACTTAGCCCCCTGCAAGCAGTGTTCCCTCTAAGCTGAGTTAGTGTGAGATAGCTCACAGTTTTTTAGACTCTGGCTCACACATTATTGTCTGAGCTCAGGAAGGGATGGCTCCAGAGTCCAGAGCAAACTGATTTGTGCAGGAGCCAAATGGCTCACTCACAACTTTAATGCCAATAGCTCACAAAGTAGAATTTTTGCCCACAAGACTCCACAGCTTAGAAGGAGCATTGCCTGCAAGGAATTTTTATCCGACAAGAACTACACTACTAGCTGCTCTTCTGGGAGACCCAGAACATTATGCAGAAGAGGTCTACTAACTGCATTCCTCAGCTCCAAATAAAAATTACGGTAAAGAAATACATGAGCTAATTGTTCAGGAACCCCAACCCTACAAGGGCAATACCGTTCACTAAAAGGGCTTCCCGACTATCTACCAAACAGAATGGCTGAGGGAAGGATATTACACTGGGCAAGCACAAAGGTTCTGCGATCATGAGGTGACTCTAGATCGGATAAATAGGCAGCTGCACTACCATAGTCTGGTGCGACACTGCGATGGGATACAGGGGAGCAAAATTTGTTTCGTACCATAGTCCGGTGCAATACCGTGATGGGATACAGGGGAACAAAATTTGTTTGCTAGAGAACACAAGATTTGTCTTTCCATGTTAACAGGAGCTGATGCAACAATCTAAAAGCTTGCTCCCTCTCCGGCTTCAGGAGAGAGTCTGGGGAGGTGCGAATTGAGATGATTTTTTCGGTTGATTAACTTCGACCACTTGCTTACATAAGAGTCCACAAGCATAGCAGTTATGTAGCTTGAATGATCGGTCATAAAAAGGAGGCGCAAGCAGAACTTTATGGTCTGAATCCACGCTCTGGTTTCCACACGCCCTTCCCCAGTTTCAAGGCACACAGCTGCATATCCAACGCAATTAGGAAGATCCAGAATACTGAATCTTCTCAAGAGCCTGGTTAAATGCGCCAATCCATATAGGGATTCCATATAATAGCTGGGCCACAGATTTGGCCTTGAATACATATAAAGCGGCAGGCCACTGTGAACACATACAAGAGTTAAGAAACAGATGTGGGAATGAGGTTTGAGTCCAGGGACACCTACAAGACAAATAAAGTTCAATTCCGGGTACAAGTGAGAACTGAGAGACTTCGTTTGTACACTACTTCAGATTCAATGAAACAGATTTCCTTAAATATTACATATAGGTTGGGGAGGGGGTTAGCTGTCAGGAAGAGCTAATTAGAGTCAAGATGCCTAACTAATTGAGCATCTTGACTCCAATTAGCTATACCTGACAACCAATGCTCCCTCTAAGCTGTAGAGTCTGGTGAGCAAAAATTGTACTTTGTGAGCTACGGGCATTAAAGTTGTGAGCGGGCGTTTGCTCTGGAGCCAGCCTTCCTGAGCTGGGACACAAATGTGTGAGCCAGAGGCTAAAAAACTGTGAGCTAGCTCACACTAACTCAGCTTAGAGGGAACACTGCTGACAACTAGCCCCCCCCACCTAGATGTAATATTTGAGGAAATCCGTTTCAATGAATCTGAAGGAGTGTGCATACTAACTCTCTCTCAGTTCTCGCTTGTACCCAGAACTGAGCTTTATTTGTCTTGTAGCTGCCATTCCCACAACTGTTTGTTATCTCTTGTATTTGTATGCTAATTTACTGCCATTCACAGATCTTTCTTACATCCAATATCAGCTGTAATCACCCAGTGCTTATGCATCTTGACTTTAAATGGCCCTTCCTGACAACTCCTCCCACCCCTATAAGTAATGGTTGAGGAGGTTTTGTTCCACTGTATCTGAGGAAGTGCACTTGCACACAAAAGCTTATATCGGGAAGAAAACTTTGTTGGTCTTAAAGGTGCCACTGGACTCAAACTTAATTCTCTGAAAAGGAAGACCTCAGCGAACTTCTGAGAACTTGTAACAGCGTGAGTCAGGCATAACTTCTAAAGAGAGAAAAGGTGCCCCCACACCAAACTCCCAAGAACTAACCACCCTTGTTCTTGCTTCTTTCCCTTCCTCTGGGGGTCTGAATGCACACAAGAGAGCCTTTTAAAGCTGCATTGTGTCACATAGAGGACAGCCATCACAATGGCCTATCGGGGAGCCGCCTGGTGGCAGGGACTCTTCTGTAAGAGAAGGCTTCTTGGGCCGAAGAAAAGCTTCAAACTTGGCTAAGCAGAGCACTAGGACACAAGCCATGCAGAAAAGCAAAATGTAACAGAGAAAAGCAAAGAAAGAAATAACAGTATAATTGTGTATAGCAACCGTAGCCCTGAACTGACACTTGAGAATGAGCTATTCCAAAAAATGTCTCTCAAAAGGGCAGCAGTTACCTCTTGAGACTTCCCCCCCTACTTGACACAGCTGCTGTTTCATGACATCGGCCATCGTGACCAAGACGGCCTCATTCAAGTCGGACATGGCAGCAGTCGTCGCAGACCGGAACGCCGTGGTGCCGTCGCTGGAGAGCTGGGCGACTTCCCCCAGGTCAATGTTCTTCACCCCGACTGCAAACACCTTTGTTCCCGTCCGTGCCAGCGCCGAGGCAGCCGCATACGCATCGTCATCCGGTCGGCCACCGGTCACAATGAAAGCAATCTGAGGGACCTTCTGCTCAGCCCGGCTGCCGGCCTCCTTCACAAAGTGCTTTGCTTGGACATGCCTGATGGCGGCTCCAGCGTTGGAGACCCTGCCGCCCTTGTAGGCTACTTTTTCAATCGCGTCTATGATCTGCTGTTTGTTGGGGAAGTCCTTCAGGAAGAATTCGTCGCTCACGTCTGAGTTGTACTGGACTAAGCCGACTTGGATGGAATCCCTGTCTTCATAAATGGCATCAACTATGCCCGCTACAAAGTCCGTGACTTGTTGGAAATTGTCCCTTCCGAAGTTAATGGAGCTATCCAGCAGAAACACGACGTCCGCTTGTTTTTTATCAAATAAAATAATCAGGGAGGAGAAGAAGAAGAAACGTTTTACTAAATGCATCAATCTGCGTATCGAGGAATCTGCACGATTTGCTGCTGTGTCACCAAACCCATAAAGCATGGCCCCATATTAGAGTGGTGATGTTTACTTTTTAAGGAAAGTAAACTTATTACCCTTTTGGTTAGGAAGATACACCCTAAAACAGACCAGTGCTTTCCTTGAGAAGTTTGGGATTGGAAGGAGTGGACTGCAGCAACTGCCACTGGCTCTCTTTCCTCTGCGTTTTGTCGTATCGCAACACTTTTACCAGCAGTAGTAGTATATGGCTGAATAGTGCACATCAGCTCTACTGGCTCAAAGTAGTAGTAGAAGAAGAAGAAATTGCTGAGTGGTCGGGTTAGAACGGATAAAAGGAAGGACTTCTTCACCCAAAGAGTGATTAACACATGGAATTCACTGCCACAGGAGGTGGCGGCGGCTACAAGCGTGGACGGCTTCAAGAGGCCTGATCCAACATTGGCGTCTCTTGTGTTCTTATGTTCTTATTAAGACTAGGTTTTTCTGTCCCACTTTCCTCTACCTTAAGGAGTCTCAAAGCAATTTACAATCACCCTCCCTTCCTCTCCCCACGACAGGCACCTTGTGAGGCAGATGGGGCTGAGAGAGTTCTGAGAGAATTGCGACTGGCTCAAGGCCACCCAGCTGGTTCATGTGGAGGAGTGGGACATCAAATCCAGTTTTCCAGATTATTTCCAATGCTCTTAACCACTACACCATGCTGCTTTTTTGACACACTGGGGTCCCGGTCACACGTGCTGGAAAACGTGGGGGGGAAGCGAGCCTATTTGCACCGTAGATTTGACCCGCCACTGCATGATCAGACGCAGCGGTGGGTGAATCGGGGTTGTTTCTTCGCCGCGTGTTTCCGGCGCGCTCCATCGAGGGATCAGTGACGCAATCTGAGTGCACTGGAGCGATCACATGGGAAACTCCATCTGCGGCCCGTCACAACCCATTTGAGACTGCATTTTCTTAGGTATTTTTTAACTCCGCATCTTCAGCGGAGTGTGACGGGTTGCTGACGGGTGCGTGACGCTTGCCAGAGGTTCTCGTGTGATCGCGCCGTTAAAATCCACCCGGCAGTCGTGCCTCTCGCACGACTACTTCTGCGTGTGATCAGGGCCTGGGATGAATATTCATCCTATGTTGTGGCAGTAACTAGGTTCTGTGTTTTCATCTCAAGGACACAGTGAGTGAACCTGACTGAAAGAGAAACTCAGCATTTGGCTCTTTGACGACATGCTGTTCCATGTTCTTCCCTAGACCTTCCAGGGAATTTTGTAACAAATGCCGACTTCCTAGTTGAGCACTGGGGAATCTCAAATTGTTTTTGCTGCCCCTGGAGCACAGAATATATGCTATCTTGAGACATTATGTCAGGGATGTGACTCTAGAAGAAAATAATCCAGTAGAATACAATAGCCAAGGAACAAGTGCCGTTTCAGGAGGAGCCTCATAAAAAAGCACTTTCCCTTCTGAGAGTACTTTCTTTGTCAAGGAAAAGGCACTTTACCTTCTGAAAGTACTTTCTCTGTCAAGGAAAAGTACGTTACCTTCTGAGAGTACTTTCTTTGTCAAGGAAAAAGCACTTTCCCTTCTGAAAGTACTTTCTTTGTCAAGGAAAAAGCACTTTACCTTCTGAAAGTACTTTCTTTGTCAAGGAAAAAGCACTTTCCCTTCTGAAAGTACTTTCTTTGTCAAGGAAAAAGCACTTTACCTTCTGAAAGTACTTTCTTTGTCAAGGAAAAAGCACTTTACCTTCTGAAAGTACTTTCTTTGTCAAGGAAAAAGCACTTGACCGTCTGAAAGTACTTTCCTTGTCAAGGAAAAAGCACTTTACCTTCTCGGCTGGAGTCTTGCTCCTGACTTTATTAAAGTTTATAACAAGTTCAACACAAAGAATGCTTTGTTTGTTTTCGTTACTACCTCAGTTCAGACTATTTTCCTTTTCATATTTTGGCATCCTCCAAAGAAAGAAAAAGAAAAACACAACTCGTAACAGGAGAAACCCCATCTTATGCTGTTCTATGCCATCCTTCCAGTTGTCAGTCACTCTTCTAAGAAACACACAATCCAGGAAGTGATATGGATTTGGGTGCTGGCTCAGTTCTCAGTGATTCCCACGGGTTCCAAGGTGGGTGGGTGGGCGAAACAGGCTGGATTCTGAGGCACCGTTGAGGGGGTCAAAACCTGCTTCCCACTCAAGGAACCAGGATTATCCCCCCACACATACTCTTCACCGGTGGACCCCTACTGCCTCCCATATTGGTGAATTAATGTTGTGAATTTCTATGGGGGCAATCTTTATTTGTTTGGTGTTCGCTTGTTTTATTAGACTTATGAATTGCCCACCCTGCAAGCAGGCTCTGGCGATTTACGACATTATGGAGATTAGAAATACAAGTAATATATAATCAAAATTACCGACAATAAAACAAAAAGTTAAAACCAACCAAGATGGCAGTAAAGAGGTCCTCCTTTGCTGGCTATACCGCCATCCCGCACGGCAGGGCAGGGCATGTGGGGGCCACAGAAGAAAAGCGAGAGGGTGCCAGTCTTAACCTTCCATTGCTGCCCTCAACTAAAATCTCGGCGGAACATCTCTGCCTTACAGGCCCTGTGGAATTGCATCAGATCCTGCAGGTAGGGCTGCCAAGTGGGGGCGGGTAAAGACCCGCTTTGAAGGCCCGATTTCCACTGCCGCAGAATTGGGCCCCGGGGGGAACTCCACCCCTTGAAGCGCAGCGTGGCTGCGTCACCAGAGGTGACGCAACCACATTGCTCACGTTGGGGGCATGGCCCCGATCATCGGAGGGAAAACTCTATGGTTTCCCTCCGACGATTGGGGCCACGCCCTCAACGTGAGTGAAATAGTGCGTCAGAGCTCCCGGAGCCCAGCAAGGCTCCCCCGCTGGTAAGAGGAATCAACTTGGCAACCCTACCTGCAGGGCCCTGATGCCGTTTGGCAGAGAGTTCCACCAGGTCGGGGCCAGGACCGAGAAGGCAAAGGGGGTCAAAACCTGACACTGGGCAGTCTCATGTAAACAAAAGAAATCCTTTTATTAAACAAGGCAGTTTAGTCTAATTGACTCTATGCCCCTCCTGCACACAGACTCTCTTTCCGTCACTTTCTGGTGCCTTGCCCTCAGTCTTCCCTCTGGGTCACTCAATTATTCTTCCTGCCTAGGGTTGCCAGCGCAAATTTGGCAACTGGTGGAGGGGCCCTCACTGATGACATAACAACATCACAAGACGACATGCCGATGTCACTTCCGGAGTGACTGGAAGTGCCATTCGGTGCATCGCTGACGGCACTCTAGCATTCTGCCAAAACTCTGTAGCGTAACCATAAACTTTTGACCAAATCCTAGGGCACTGTCGGTGCGATTACTTCTGGTTGTGCCAGAACTGATGTCAGTGCATGGGGACGCTGTCCATCAGCCGCCCATCTTGTACCAGTTTTCTCCTGCCACCAAGCTGAGTGGGGGGTGGGAGATCCCAGCAGTAAGTTGGCATCGCCAAAGAGACAAACCCTTTTAAATACAGAATAACTGTTCCTTTAGCAATCTGAAGAGCTCTGGGGAAAAGCAAAGCTCAGAATGCACAGCTGGCTCTCTCCAATGCCCTAGAACATCCCTTCTGTGTCGATTCCCCTGGAGGAAATCGCGGGATGGGCGGGCAGACTCTAGGGCGTCATATCCTCGCTAAGCTCCTTCCCCTCCCTGGCACAGCCTCAAGATCCTCAGGACTTCCCCATGTCAGAGTTGGCGATCCTCATGTTCGGCTATAAACTAATTTAATCTCTTCTTAATTTAACTGAACCATATTGGCAAAAATCCAAAATGCTCTGAATATGGGATGGCCTGTTACTTTTATATTTTCCACTGCAGTGTGTCGAATCATTTCTGTAAGAGGAAACTTTTCATACTGCGTTGAAAATTCAGTGTGTAGAACGAAACAATGATATTGGATTGATTAAATACACTCTACGAGAGCAAGGCTTTGGGGCGGAGGGACAGAGGGCTTTAAGTATTTGTCTCTTTGGCAGTGGTAGTTGCTCAAAAGGAAGAGGGTCAGAAACGCTCTGGCTGCGTTCAACACTCTATCTCCCATCCAAGAAAAACATTAATGAACTAAAAATACAATGTTTTACTTTTGAATAAAAAGACTGACCAACAGTTGGAACTTCAGGTTCTGTTGGTGGTTCTGGAAGTTGCTGAAACGATGCAAAGATCTTTCTCTCTATTGTTGGGAGGTCTGTAAACTCTCTGACAATAAATGCAGTTCTGGGAGCACCGGTAATCCTTTGCAGTTCGGCGCTATCTGCATTTCTTGCTCCCACACCCAGGCTTTTTATTCCAAACCCCTGCATCACACTGGACGGTCTGCTGACGTCATCCTGGGATCTCCCTCCAAGAAGGAGAACTAAATGCTGAGGGACGCCATCTTCTCGCCTGCTTCCCGCAGACTTCACAAAGAAATTCTTCACAACATAGTCCAGCGCCTTCCCAACATTCAGGGGGGCTCCTCCTCTGAATCGCAAGCGCCGTACAGCATTAAGCGCGAGACTTTTGGACTTGGAGTCTCTTAAAAAGTACTCAGGGAACACATCGTTGCTGAACTGGACCAAACCAATTCTCACTTTGTTTTCTCCCACATCCAACTGCTGGACAAACCGCAGAATGAAATCTCGAATGTTCTTCTTCTTCTTCTTCTTCTTCTTCTTCTTCTTCTTCTTCTTCTTCTTCTTCTTCTTCCCCTTCCCTGGCACAGCCTCAAGATCCTCAGGACTTCCCCATGTCAGAGTTAGCGATCCTCATGTTCGACTATAAACTAATTTAATCTCTTCTTAATTTAACTGAACCATATTGGCAAAAATCCAAAATGCTCTGAATATGGGATGGCCTGTTACTTTTATATTTTCCACTGCAGTGTGTCGAATCATTTCTGTAAGAGGAAACTTTTCATACTGCGTTGAAAATTCAGTGTGTAGAACGAAACAATGATATTGGATTGATTAAATACACTCTACGAGAGCAAGGCTTTGGGGCGGAGGGACAGAGGGCTTTAAGTATTTGTCTCTTTGGCAGTGGTAGTTGCTCAAAAGGAAGAGGGTCAGAAACGCTCTGGCTGCGTTCAACACTCTATCTCCCATCCAAGAAAAACATTAATGAACTAAAAATACAACGTTTTACTTTTGAATAAAAAGACTGACCAACAGTTGGAACTTCAGGTTCTGTTGGTGGTTCTGGAAGTTGCTGAAACGATGCAAAGATCTTTCTCTCTATTGTTGGGAGGTCTGTAAACTCTCTGACAATAAATGCAGTTCTGGGAGCACCGGTAATCCTTTGCAGTTCGGCGCTATCTGCATTTCTTGCTCCCACACCCAGGCTTTTTATTCCAAACCCCTGCATCACACTGGACGGTCTGCTGACGTCATCCTGGGATCTCCCTCCAAGAAGGAGAACTAAATGCTGAGGGACGCCATCTTCTCGCCTGCTTCCCGCAGACTTCACAAAGAAATTCTTCACAACGTAGTCCAGCGCCTTCCCAACATTCAGGGGGGCTCCTCCTCTGAATCGCAAGCGCCGTACAGCATTAAGCGCGAGACTTTTGGACTTGGAGTCTCTTAAAAAGTACTCAGGGAATACATCGTTGCTGAACTGGACCAAACCAATTCTCACTTTGTTTTCTCCCACATCCAACTGCTGGACAAACCGCAGAATGAAATCTCGAATGTGAGCAACGCCATCTGCCCCGACACCACTAGAGCTGTCAATCAGGAAGACAAGGTCCTTTGCGTCACGGTCAATATCTGGGGCAGGGGAGGGGGGAGATAAAAGAAATTAGTTGTCGGTCAGATTATTCTCAAGAAGAAATAGAACTACTGCAATCTGTGCAATCAAAGCTTACTATAATATCTAAATGGATACTAAATTACAAATCACATATTCACTAATAACATTATTATTTACAGATGAATAAGTAAGATGATGGACGAAATTCCCCGGAGTTGATGTTCCATTTCGTCACGACTTCTTCACACATCAAACCTCATACAGACGTGCCTTCATAGGGTCACAATTTTTTTTCCAAATGGATATTTCTTAATTCCTATACGTTTCTGGTGTTCATTCGCGTAGTGTTATCAAACCACAGTGTCAAATGCGGGCTGATCAGCCTTCATTGGTCAGATTCTCAACACAGGGGAAAACATGATTTACATTCATCATATCTCAGGTACACAGTCAATGTTTACTTTACTGGACTAACGATTTATAAACACGGCATATACTTCCAAGGCATCACAATTTCCAGGGTAGGTTTTGAAAGCAATGAATGATTTCCTCGCACCACCATGCCAGTGTCTGCCTGTCTGTCCATCTATCTCTCCCTCTATATATATCGACCAACTGATCAATAGATAGATCGAGGGTCCCCAACATCATGCCCATGGTGCCCGCTGATACCTTTCCTGGTGTCCGCCAAGTGTTTTTATAAAGTGAGTGGGTCCAGGTGGGGCTTTTGCCCAGTAAGGTTTCTGATTGGCCAATGTAGGTTTGATTGGCTCTGCCTACATACCTAAGGGACCACCTTTCCCCATGTTCCCCAGAGAGCACTACGATCGGGGTCCCAAAACCGTCTGGCCCTACTGGGCCCTAGAGAAGCCAGGCTGGCTGGGACGAGGGCCAGGGCCTTTTCAGTGGCAGCTCTGCACTGGTGGAATGAGCTCCCAGAAGAGATCAGGGCCCTGCGGGACCTTTTACAGTCCCACAGGGGCTGCAAGACGGAACTCTTCCACCGAGCCTACGACTAGGGAGCCGCCCCGATAAATTGAGGCCCTGGCCCCAATATTAACATCATCATTAATATGCTTATGTCAGACACGGCTAATGCCCACCATCGTTCATGAACAGCACTAGTACTTTACACTGTGTTTTATAATTATACCATGGTGGTTTTATTTAATCCTGTGTTTTAGTTCTCTAACATATTTTATGTAAGCCGCCCTGAGCCTGCCTTGGCAGGGAGGGCGGGATACAAATCAAATCAAATTTTTGAAACCACGCAAGAGTTAAAAAAAAAAAGAAGAGCCAATTGCGCTGTACTGCATGGTTAGGAAGGAATACGGGGAAGCCACCTGCCAAGCAGCCACGAAGGGGTTGGCAAGCAGCCAAACCAATCACTGAAAAACACAGCTCCCTGTTCACAACTGGTGAACAGGATACGAACCAAACTGGCAAATGTTTGAACATTGCCGCTGTCCACAACCATCTGCTGAAGAGCTTTGCAGCTACACAGCAGGTGCGGTGGTATAGTGTTGTTTCTTGGTGGTGGAGGAATTTCATTTCTTTGCTTTCTTCAGGCCTTTTGCATCTGCACAGCAGAGTCATGGGTGGCTGGAACAGATAATTAAAAGAACTACGCCTACCATAACGCTGTGCATGAATGCGCATGCGCCATATAACACCAAATGGCAATGTAGAGTTTATAACTGTTAGTGGACTGGCTCACTTAACTGGTTGTTTATACAATTCACTGTCAGTCTATGCAAAGCAACAAGATGTTCGTAGGGGAGGGGAGGGGGGGAAGCAGGAGTCCTTTCAGGCTGTGTGCGTGCATGTGTGAAACGCTCCTGATAGCACAATATTGTACTATACTTACTGCACTGTTTGAATATGGGGAAAGTACCCCGACGAACAGGCCCGAACTGATCACGAAATCTTGGACAACAAAAAAGCTGACTCCCAACCTGGAAGTGAGGCAGTCCCCCCTAGCAAGAAAGATGGGCTGCATCCCCTTCCCTGCACGACATTTATTGATTTTATTGATTTGTATATTTGATTTTTACCCCGCCCTCCTTGCCAAAGCAGGCTCAGGGCGGCTTACAAAAGATAAAACATAAAAAGTTATAACATAGGTAAAACCATATTAAAAAAATCTGATGTCATAAAGTGCTAGCTAGTTGTAAATACTTAAGAGATGGTGGCAACAGTTATATTAGCATGGTCTCTGGTCTGCCTTGCTCATTAGTTTCTCGTCCTTATCATATATATGTGGCAGGCACAGGCTGTAACGATGGAATCAGGGCACGGGCTCTCTCTTTCTCAAGTACTGTTAACAATCTTCAATGAAATGGTGGTGGCGGTGGCGGTGGTGTTAATGGTGGCGACTCCTTAACCAAAGGCCTGTTGGAATCCTCCAGTCTGCCTTATCCAGAGAAGTGAGGTAAGAATGCCTCTTTAGCAGAAGTCAGAGAATGACTGTTTACAGCAAGGCAGATGTGGGAGAATGATCGGCAGGAGATACTGCGCCATCAGTTGAAACAAGATAACCTTACCTGGAGGAGGACGTGTATCGCCTATGAGTCTCTGTATCTGCTGCGTAGTGAGTGTCGTAACAGGGGTCAGCAATCTCTGTTCCAAACTAGGTAGATCCCGGTAAGTTGACACTTGGAAGACGTATTCAGGACTAAGAGCTATTTTCACCAGTTCCTCGGTATCCACATTTCTCGCAACAGCCAGCGGCGCCACCCCAATTTGTTTGACTTCGATGGCAGGGTCCTCCACCTCGTCATCAGACGGGCGAGAAAAGAGGAGGATTAAAAACTGTGGCGCCCCTTCTTCTATACGGCTTCCCGAAGGCCTTGTAAATATATTTTTTGACACATACTCTAGGGCAGAGCCAACGTTCACACGTCTCCCTCCTTTGGGTCTGAGCCCCCGCACTGCGTTCTGCACCTCGTCTTTGGTGGAGTACGCGTTCAGCAGAAACTCAACTCTGGGATCCTCGCTGAACTGAATCACAGCGACCCGAGTGGCATCAGCATCCACATTCAGGTTGTTTACAAGCCTCTCAATAAATTCACGGACGGAGGAAAAGTCGGGGGCTGCAAACTGGGAGCCATCAATAAGGAATACGATGTCTCTTTTCCCATCCACTGTAAAACCAAGTAAGATTATCGGTAACAAAGAAAACACTAGTAAAATAAATGATACACATACTTCTAAGACTCAGATCAGTGAATATACATCGTGGGCTATCAGCAAAGAGACAAGAATGTTATTGTAAATTCAGCAGAGAAGAAGAGGACGATGAAGTAATAGTAGTAGTGGTAGTGGTAGTAGTAGTGGAGGAGATTGGATTTATACCCCACCCTTCACTCGGAGTCTCAAACCGACTTACAAACTCCTTTCCCTTCCCCTCCCCACAACAGACATCCTGTAAGGTAGGCGGGGCTGAGAGAGCTCTGACAGAAACAGTTCTTTTTCAAGAACAGCTCTGACAGAACTATGACTTGCCCAAGATCATCCAGCAGCTGCAAGTGGAGGAGTGGGGAATCAAACCTGGTTCTCCCAGATTAGAGTCGGCGCACTTAA